TAGATGATTGGTTAGCTAACAAGGAGCACAAATGGCTCATTTTCATCTTTGGAAAGAAGTAGCAAGTGATGCGCCACAGAGCTCAATGCTAGTGCTTTGACTTGTAACAATTTATATAAATGGCTTGGTTGGAGGCTGAGATATTTGCTGATGACACAAAGCTCGTTAGAAAAACAAATTGTGAAGAGGATATAAGGACTCAAGAAAAGGGATATGGAAAGGTTAAGTAAGTAGACAAAAGTCTGGTCAAAGTATAATATGTGAAAATATGAAATTGTCCGTTTTGGCAGGCACAGGTGGCTCAGTGGTTAGGCCTCACAGCACCAGGGGCCCGGGTTCAATTCCACCCTCAGGCAACTGTCTGTTTGGAGTTTGCACATTCTCCCCGTGTCTGTGTGGGTTTCCTCCAGGTGCTCCGGTTTCCTCTCATAGCCCAAAGATGTGCAGGCCATGGAAAATTGCCCATAGTATTTAGGGAAGTGTAGATTAGGTGGGTTATGGAGGGATGGGTCTGGGTGGGATGCTCTGAGGATCACTGTGGACTTGTTGGGCCAAAGGGCCTTTTTTCACACTGAAGGGTTCTAAGAAAGAAGCACATGACCGAACTGGTGAGGGATTACAACCTTTGACTTGTATGTGTCCTAGTACATGAATCACAGAAGTACAAGTACAGCAAGTAATTAGGAAAGCTGATAGAATGCTGTTATTTATTATGACAGGAATTGAATACAAAAATAGAGAGGTTATGTTTCATCTGTAAAGAGCGTTGGTTTGACCACATCCAGAGGATGGTGCACAGTACTGGTCACCATATTTGAGGAAGAATGTAAATGCATAGAAAGAACTTTAAGGAAGATTAACTAGACTAATAACTGGAATGGGGAGTTTGTATTATTAGGAAAGGTTTAACAACTTATGCTTGTATTCACTGGAGTTTAGAGTAAGGGATGACTTGAACATATAAGATCCTGAGGGGACTTGATAGGGTGGGCGAGGAAGGTACGTTTTCACTTGTGGGAGAATCTAGAACAAGGCGTCTCTGTAAAAATAAGGGGTAGCCCATTTAAGAAAATGACAACTGTTTTCTCTCAGAAGATTATGAATTTTGGAATTCTGTTCCACAAAAGGCAGTGAAAGCAGCATCTTTGAATATTTTTAAAGTAGAAGTCGATGGATTCTACATAAGCAAGAGGATAACAAGTTATCAGGGGTAGAGGGCAATGTAGAGTAATCAGATCAGCCATGATCTTATTGAATGGCAAAGCTAACCCAAGGGGCTCAGTGGTCCACTTATGCTCCTAATTTGTATGTTTGTACCTCTACCAAATGAATTGTCCCTCAAGCACTCGACTAGACAACAGAGGGCCTTCCCTGGGATCAAAGCCCCACCCTCTGAGAGCCATCAACCAGTCAGAGATTAGCAGCTCTTTCATTCAGCAGCACCAATGGGGAGGTGTTGGTTACTGTCTCCTACCATAGACACAGGATCACCTCTAGATCTCAACTCAAGACTGAGTAATACCAGTCCAGGAGATTTGCAGGGAGAGGATGCTGGGAGCAAGGGTAAGAGAATAGTTCTCAACAGGCCCCAATTTTCTAATGCTGCATCCTTCAGTTAGACACTGAGTGTCTTTTCCTGAGGGAGCTATCCAGAAGCCCGTAATTGTTGTGCTCCCTACAAATTGAGATCCAACTATCCACTGGGTTCATACCAGTGGTAGTGAGGTAGGAAGGCTATCCACAGGCTTACCCTCCATGGGCTTAATCAGGGTGAATGTGGGAAGGTGGCAGAGTCTAACCCATCATCTTCTCACCTGATTGAATGTCCCTGAATGCCACCAAAACATTCCCCAGGTGATGAATTAAACTGTGGCCAATGAGTGAGAAGGGTTTGTGGATTGACCTTGCTAATTTAGAACAAAGAGAAAAGGGAATTCCCAAATTAAGTGGGTGACTGCAAGTAAGCAACAGTCTAATTCATAAGAAGAAATGCATAAATGAGGAAATAGTTTGGGTTCTTAGAAGCAGCAGGCAAGCATTACTCAGAGATTCACTGGAGCCCCTGGAAATAAATGTTGTGGTTGTGAGACTTCGAGGTGCTTGCTTGGAATCTATAACTGTGAGTAACAGTTTATATGTGTGCAGAGATTGGCTCGAGTTATGTCCTTCATTAATTGGCTTTCCGGAATTTAATATCCCAGTCCAAGACCCCTAAAAGGCTGTTTTATCAGAAAGAGCACTGTACTTGCCTGGTTTTCTGGTTTGAAATGCAATCATCTTTCAGAAAGCATCAGTCCTCAGTTGTTACCTTCTATTGTTAGCAAGTGATAACTCATGTTAGCAGAGGGCTCATCGAATTTCAGACTGTCTTCACTCAGTCTTGCCTCATTGGCAGTAGGCCTTGGCAAAGATGACCGAACCTGTATTCGTGAGTTTCATTCATCCTGCCATTGCTCTTGTCTGGTTCGACTGGGACATCTCTTCCCCTTGACGTAGTTGTGTTTGACAGCAGTGAGGAACTTGGGGGCCTTTGTATAATTGTGTCATCTGAAGGCTACTGTCTGATTAGCAGAAAGCACTACATGGCGTTCAATTAAATCTTTTCTTCCAGAAGCATTCAGCCCTGACAGCATCTCATGGTTCACTGTCTTTTTTTTGCTGTTCTGCTCACACTCATTCTTCCCATTCATAGTATCTACAGTCTATACAAAAACTCTAGAAATTTATTTTGGAGCCATTTATTTAAAAGAAGATTTTTCAAAATAGCTAGACTCATTCACTATATACTGCAACTGGAAGAAACCTGTTTCCCTTGGAAAAGTCCTTGGTTTCTAATGAAGTCTCTGAGGATAATGAGGGGAATTTGTCAGATGATGTAAGAGTATTTATTATATAGACAATAAAGTCTCTGTAGTCAGTCAACCTCAGTAAAGAATGAGGTCAAAGCGAGGGGAAGCAACTTAATATATTTCTCATTGTGAATCCCTGCAGTTCTGCCTCTGTCTCTGGAGTGCACACCCAGTGACTACATCGATCTCACAAATATCACTTTATAATTCATAGAAACAAGTTATAAGAGCCATGAAACTACTGATGTCTGCTACATCAGCCTCCTCATTTATTACCATACAACCTGCTAACCCTCTCTGATATACCAAAACCTTTCACAATTTCCTGTTCCAAATCTCACTCAGCACAATATTATCTGATATATATCAGGCCTTCCCTTAATATTGTCTAAAATATTCCAAATATTGTCTAAAATACCACACGACTCTTTCAATGCATTGGCATGGGCTGTCAAGCTTTTTGATTCCAAGGATTACTATCCCATTTATAAATATTCCAGGGACTCCCGTATCAAAACACAGGTTCATTCTTCTGTGTAAAAGCTAATTGTAAAATTAACCATGTATATTTATTTTTGTTTTACTTGACCAGAAGATTTATCGCATTCTCTCCATAGCCATGCTGCATGAGAGAGGTTGGAAACCACATCTCAAAAGTTTTCAAAGATATTAAGCTTTCCTGCCCTGCCAAGAGTGAATGAGGTCTTCAAACAATTGTCTTAATATGTGTTTTAGGACATATTTCTGTTACAGAAATAGAAGACATCTTCTTTACTAATATTCAGTTTGTTGTTAACTACTGTTAGGGTCTGATTAACTGAAGGTACAGGCATTTCTGTCATTGCACATTCATTCATGAGTGTGTGACAACTTCTTAGTGGATGTAATCTGTGGAGTTCTTTTTTAAATGAACAAAAAGACCTTAATAAATTTCAGTCACTGAGTCTATTTAAAACCGCTGTTCCCGATGTGGCCTCCTCTACATCGGGGAAACCAAGCTGAGACTTGGAGACCGCTTTGTAGAACACCTACGCTCGGTTCGCGACAAACGACTACACCTCCCAGTCGCGAACCACTTCAGCTCTCCCTCCCACTCCTTGGATGACATGTCCGTCCTGGGCCTCCTGCAGTGCCACAACGATGCCACCCGAGGATTGCAGGAACAGCACTTCATATTTTGCTTGGGAACCCTGCAGCCCAATGGTCTCAATGTGGACTTCACAAGCTTCAAATTCTCCCCACCCCCGACCTCATCCCAAAACCAGCCCAGCTCGTCCCCGTCCCCTTGACCTGTCCGTCTTTTCTCCCACCTATCCGCTCCTCCCACCTCACTGACCAACCCCCACCTCCACCTCCTATCTACCAGCCTCATCCCCGCCTCCTTGACCTGTCCGTCTTCCTTTGACTGACCAACTCCCATCCTAACTCCCCACCTACACTCACCTTTACTGTCTCCATCCCCATCTCCTTGACCTGTCCGTCTCCTCTCCACCTGTCTGCTCCTTTATCCACCTTCCATCCGCCTCCCCCCCTCTCTGTCTTTATTTCAGAGTCCCCTTCCCCTCCCCCATTTCTGAAGAAGGGTCCAGACCGGAAACGTCAGCTTTCCTGCTCCTCTGATGCTGCCTGGCCTGCTGTGTTCATCCAGCTCCACACCTTGTTATCTCAAATAAACTGAACATACAGATTGTCCACAACTAACTCAAAAGTGCAAATTAAGCACGAAAATATTAGTCAGTCAACAGCTGATTGAAACAAAAGGATAAAATGAGAATTCCTATTGTGGCTCTGGCTGGTGACCTGTTTGAAATTTTCTGATGCATGCCTAAAGGGTTGTGGATCCTCTGTTGGAAGCTCCTGCGATGTGGCACATCCTTTATGCAGTACAACACAGTGTTGTCTGATGTAGGACATCCTCACGTAGTATAGTATTGTCTGATATATATCCTTATTCAGTGCAAAGTTGTCTGATTTAGTGCACTGTTAATTCACTCTGTCTGATGTAGCACACCACACATCGTGTGACAGCCTTTACTTCCTGTATGTTATCAGATAGCCTACATCCTTCTCTCACTATAATACACTCATATCGTCAATCAGTGCTACACTGTCTGTCCCATGTCCTTTCTGACTGACTCTTTATTGGTGCAGGTGACTCAGGGACAGATGGAGGACTGCATTAAGCAGGAATTTGCTAAAATGAGGCAGTTGGTGACCGAGGAAGAGCGCAAAGCCCTTCACCTGGTGGACCTCCAGGAGGCAGTGGCCACGGCCCACGTAGCTGAGCTGATTGCTGAGATAAATGTCACCATGGAGAAGCTCACTGAGGAGATGCAGGAGATCACAAGGCAGTTGAATGCCTTTAATCAACTGGCACTGCTGAAACCAAAGGTATGTGATGTGCACTCACTGTATGTGTAGAGAGGCTGAATGAGAAAAATGGGAAAGGTTGGTGCTGACTAACCTTATTGGAATTCAAGCTCCCACTCCCAATTATACCATGCCAACACTGATACTAACACCAACAGCTGCTCAGGAATCAGAGCTAACTTTACAGCTCCTGTTGACATTGTAAAGAAATTATAATGAAAGTTTCAAAACAACTCGCATGCTCAAGTGAATTTTCGTCGAGTTTGAAAATGTTGATTGCTGGTTTGATTTTCCTCCACGTCTGTTGACCTTTCAGACATCCTACATCTGCTGACTTCCATGAATTCACTTTCTTGTCAGAGTCATACAGCACAGAGACAGGCCTTTCAGTCCAACCAGTCCCACCGACTATAATCCTAAACTAAACTAGTCTGACCTGCCTGTTCCTGGCCCATATCCCTGCAAAACTTTCCTATTCATGTATATATTCAATTGTCTCTTAGACACTGTAACTGTACCCACATCCACCGTTTCCTCTGGAAGTTCAGTCCACACACAAACAACTTTGTGTAAAAAAAAATGCCCGTCATGTCTTTTTAAAATCTTTCTCCTTTCACCTTAAAAAATGCCCCCAGTCTTGAAATCCCCCACCTTAAGGAAAAGACACCTGCCATTCACCTTATTTACACCCTTCATGATTTTAGAAACCTGTATACGTTCCAATGAAAAAGGTCCCAGCCTGTCCTTATAACTGAAACCCTCCATTCCTGGCAACATCCTGCTAAATCTCTTCTGAACGCTGTCCAGCTTAATAATACACTTCCTTTCACAAGGCGACCTGAACGGGACACAGTACTCCAGAAGAGGCCTCACCAATGTCCTATACAACCTCAACATGACTTATCAACTCTTATACTCAAAAGGCTGAGCAATGAAGGCAAGCGTGCCAAATGCCTTTTTAACCACCCTGTCTATATGTGACGCAAGCCTCAGAATTATGTACCTGCACCAGTAGGTCCCTCTGTTCTACAACACTACCGGAGCCCCTACCATTAATTATATAAGTCCTACCCTTGTTTGTTCTACCAGAATGTAATACCTCGCATACATCCAGATTGAACTCCATCTGCCATTTTTCAACCCATTGACCCATTTGATCAAGATCCCTCTGTAATCTTAGAAAACCTTTGTCGCTGTCTACTATGTCACCAATTTTGGTGTCGTCCACAACTTACTAACCTTCTATATTCTCATCCAAATTATTTACATAAATAACAAACAAAAGAAGACCTGGAACCAATCCCTGTGGAACACCATTGGTCACAGGCCTAGTCCGAAAAGCTATATCCCCATTATTCTCTGTCTCCTGCTGTTAAGCCAATTATGTATCCAATTGGCAAGATGACCCTGAATCCCATGTCACCTAACTTTACTAATTAGTCTACCATGTGAAACCTTGTCAAAGGCTTTACTAAATTGCAAATAAACAACGTCTACTGCTCTGCCATCATCAATCTTTTGGTAATCTCTGAACTGGACACAGTATTCCAGAAGAGGCCTCACCAATGTCCTGTACAAACTCAACATAACGTCCCAACTCCTATACTCAAAGGTCTGAGCAATGAAGACATGCATGCTAAATGCCTTCTTAACCATCCTGTCTATATGTGACATAAACTACAAAGAATTCTGTACCTTATGTCCTGCTGTAATGATGTATGTCAAATACTTGCTAAAACCACCTCCCCCCACCCCCCACCCCCGGTGCCCCCCCTGCCATTGCTGCTCATTTTGGATGCTAGATATTGAAATAAGTTGGTGCTCAGTCCCACAGAAAGCTAGATAGGATCATGCACTCGAACCTGCATGCTTCCTCTGAAGGCCATGATATTTTAGCAAATTGGGTGCACATCCTAAGGGGGTTAGATAGGGTAATGGTTGTTGTGCAAATTAGGCTTGTGGTGAACTGGCAGTCCATTTTACGCTATGATTTTAATGTAAACCATATTTCCCAGTGTGTAAATGTACAGAATAGTGTGATTGTAATCAGTCAGGTGACTAACGCTGAATCTTTATATTGTTTCTTTGCAGGTTATTGAAGAGAAACCCAGGTACTGTGGTCCTCATTGTTAATGTTGTAACATGTTACTGAAAACAACAAGAAAGGCAGCAATTTAGAACTTTGATTCATAAACCCGGTCACTGTGTGTTGTACAGGGACTGACACAGTCACCATGGGGGTAATCTAATGCACAATAACTGATGCATGTGGGGTGGTAAAAAGTAAAAATGGTCTAAATTTCAGACATGTCCCAAACTCTTCCATTTGCAGTTTCAACTGAGGTGAATCTTGTGAGGAGTGGTCTCTGATATCCTTACAGGCAGGTGGTTAATTGAAACCTTTTAATTAAGCTGTTTGGGTTTATTCACAAGGATGTTCTTTTTAACCATGTTGGCAAGGTATCATGGTCCTTAGGAAATGTGGCAGGTGACCTGAAGGATTAGATCGATAAAGTCTTTAAAGAACTGCATCTGATTCAGGAGTAGTCAGAGAGTTTCCTCCTACCACAACAAATGATCCAGTAAACTTTGCAACTTCATCACCATCACTTCCCCTGAACATATTGCCCATGATCATTGATCTCCCCACGATCACCAACTCTCCTCTGACTTGAACCTACCTGCAATCATATCAAAGCTCCCAATCCCTGATATATCCCCATCCCTTCAATCACTTGCCTTCCCCACACCCTATTGTTAAATCTACCTTTGTTTTTGGTTCTGGTTACTACAGGAACTTCTCCGCCACCAGTCAGCTGAACATGGCCATGAGGTAGGTTTTCAGGCAGGCATTCTGGAACAAAGTGTTAGATATTCCCTGTACCCGTTCAATGTGTTTTTTGAGGTGCAGAGCAGAGGTAACCGTATCTTACATCAAGTCTGCTGTTATGGACCAAACTAAACTCTCTCAAAACATATCAAGGATATAGCCTAGTCCCTAACTTTTATTTAAAGGCAAGTGTAAGGCGCTGCATTCTGGATGTGATTTGATTGGTCAAACTACCAGGCTTTTAGCAAAACACACTTCATTCTTACACCACAGTTAAAATACGAACAAGAAAAAAAGGATGGGCATAAATTTAATTGTATCAAAATACTTAACAAAATAATATACTATTTAACTACTACTCATCAACTGTTCCAGTTAACAGCATCCCAGCAACACAAATTCTGCAACGTTACTTTCATAGATCATAGAATCCCTACACTGTGGAAACAGGCCTTTCGGTCAACAAGTCCACACCGACCCTCAGAGCATCCCACCCAGACCCATCCTCCTATAACCCACCTAATCTACACATCCCTGAACACTATTGGCAATCTAGCATGGCCAATCCACCTAGCCTGCACGTCTTAGGACTGTGGGAGGAAACCGGAGCACCTGGAGGAAACCCACGCAGACACAGGGAATGTGCAAACGCTTCACAGACAGTCGCCCAGGGGTGAAATCAAACCCAAGTCCCTGGCGCTGTGAGGCAGCAGTGCTAACCACTGAGACACCATGCCTCCCCTTCTTGCTATCTCCTCCAATCCAAGAGAAGGAAAACCAATACAATGAATCTAGTAGCAGAGAGAGAGTTCTTTAGGCAGCACCTTCCAAATGCACGAACTCTTCCATCTAGAAGGACAAGGGCAACAGATACATGGGAACACCACCACTTGCAAGTTCCTTCCAAGCCACTCACCATTCTGATTTGGAAATATATTGCCTTTCCTTCACTGTTCTTGGGTCAACATCCTAGAATTCCTTCCCTCAGGGCATTGTGGGTCAACCCACAGCACGTGGACTGCAGCGGTTCAAGAAGGCAGCTCACCACCACCTTCTCAAGGGCTACTAGGATCGGGCAATAAGTGTTGGCAAGTTAGCAATATCCAAGTCCCACGAGTGAATTATAATAAAACTTGCACGTGCACCTGAAGCTTCATAACCTACAGGGCCACAGACAAAGAATTAGAAAACAGAATGAGGTTGGGTAGCTCTTTTCGGCTGGCTTGGATGAGATGGGCCACATAGCTCCCTGCACGTTTTCAAATCTTCCTACATTTCAATACTTCTACTTATTCGGCTGGGGACTGTGGTGTGAGGACCTGTGATTGGGAAACCCTGAACCACAGATTTTCCACATTGGCAGAGTTTCTACTTCCTGGCTGTGGCTGCAAGAGCAGGTCAGACTGTGAATTCAAGTAACTCCTCTCCTGTCACCCCGAAACCTGGCCAGCATTTACCAGGCATAAGTCAGGAGTATTATGGAATACTATTCTCTTGTCTGGAATGAAGTTCTAACAGCAACCCCACACCTCCCCCAATTACCTTTGACACAGTTTAAAAATCAAAAGTCTGTTCAAGTCAGTCTTGACGATATTTAAGGACCCAACCTCTGTTCCTCTCTGTGAACGGAATTCCAAAACTGTCAACCTTCTGAGAGAAGAAAGTCCTCATCATCATCTTCTTAAATGGGGACTCTTGATTTTGAAACTATGTCCCCAAGTTCTCGATGCACCCATGAAATATCCTTTCAGATTCAGACAGGCTGACTACAATTTTATAATTCTGCATTCTCCATACTTTCGTTCCAATTAATATTAAGCTAGTTGAAATCTTCTTACTATCACTGCCCCATTGTTTCTATTTTCCCTCCAGTTTGTCCACATTTTCACTCTTTTGTTAGCTTTTGACTGTTTGAGAGTTTATGGCAGCCTTGCAGTGCATGATTGCCCCGTTTTAATCTTCAGTTCAACTTGTGTACTTGTTTGACGATCCTGCTGGTATATTATCTCTACACAGTTGTCATAAAGTCATACAGATCTACAGCATAGAAAAAGGCCCTTAGACCCATCGCATCTACACAAATTAAAAATAACCATCCAACTGTTTCAAGCCCATTTACCAACATTTGGTCCATAGCCTTGTATGCCTTGCCTTGTGTTTGTTTTTTTAAACAACATAGTGTTCTGTTTTTGACCCCTTCTCCATATGAAATCTCTATAACCAGGATTAATGAGATGACATTCCTAAACCTCTTGCAGCTTGGATTCAGAAGTATCTAGAATATCATACTTCCAAGTGACTTCTGTGCCATGAACTCATGTGTCCTATTTACAAAGCTCCTTGTATTGAATTATATGTCATGTCACCAAGCACTAAACAACTCCTTTGTCCCTTTTCTAGCCCTGTTTTCTCTGTCTTTCATACTCAATTAATGATTTTACACAATTGATTTTGCTCATATTTAATTATTGGGGCCTGTGTCTTATACTGAGAGTGAAATGGTAAGATAAAGTCGCCACAATTCTTTTCAACCCATAGGGCCACTCTCTCATTAGAGAGACAACTGGTTGGGGAGGTGACCACACCTCAGGCAAGGGCAGAGGTTAAGAACAATAGTCCTTTGTACTGTTGGTGTCACTCTGCATCATAAACCGGCCGTCCAGCCAACTGAGCTAATCAACCCCCACTGAAATGTCCATTCTGTGTTTCAATAAAGACTGGCATGGGCACAATTATATTTCAATATATTCAACCTGTAGTATAATATCTTATAAATAAACTGTTTAAATTACTTGATTATATTCCAGTCTATAACCTCATGGTGACTATTTTACAATGATATTGTACTAATTTGGAATATCATTGTGTTCTCACCTAGATGTAGTGATGATGCTCTTTTGATATGTTTGAAAGAGTTTGCAGCTGTTTAGATTTTATTCATTCCAAAAATGAGCCTGAGGACTTTATGCTAAAATCCTATTTTCAGCGTTAATGACAAATATTCAACTTTAACGTTCCCTTGGCTCTCATTTACCAAAATATAATCGTGAACATCAGAGCATTTTGATGTTCCAGAATACTCCAAGGGAGGCTGCCTCAGATTGCGCTAACATTGAGTAACATTTAATTTCCTCCTGTTCTCATTAATGCTTGCAATTGTTGCTGACTGTGTTTTCATCTTTAACTATGTATCTCCAAAATCTAAACGATTTCTGCAATGATGTTGGGTTACATAGGACACAATTTTTAATGTGGCATCAACCGAGCACATTAAGAGCAGTGTGAGCTCAAACTGAGACTGTTACTTTTTTAGCCAGCTCTAATCTGATGAATAATTGTCATATAACAGCTTTATGCACAGACAGTACTGGGTGGGACAGTATTTATAGTAAGAAGATCTCCAACAACAGACAAAGGTTTGTTCCAGTGCCAAAGTTTACTTTGAGGTTAGCAAGTTATAGCTAATGTTGTTGAACTGCTTTCGAGGTTACATGAATGTGGCTCGCAAGGTATCTTTAATCACTAAATTTAAGCACTAAATCCAAAGAACTTCATGCATCTTTAGCTTTTTTTTGTTTGACCTCTGCAGCACTTTGGAATATTCTTCTTGGTTAACAGCACAAGCTGTTGATTTTTTTTTATTTATTTGTGGGATGTGGGTGTTGCTGACTGGGCCAGCATTTATTGCCCTGTCCCTAGTTGCCCTTGAGAAGGCAGTGGTAAGCTGCCTTCTTGAACTGCTGCAGTCCGTGTGCTGTAGGTTGACCCACAATGCACTCAGGGAGGGAATTCTAGGATTTTGACCAAGTGACACTGAAGGAACGATGATATACTTCCAAGTCAGGATGGTGAGTAGCTTGGAGGGGAGCTTGCAGGGGATGGTGTTCCTATGTATCTGCTGTCCTTGTCCTTTTAGATGGAAGTGGTCATGGGTTTGGAAGGTGCTGTCTGAGGATCTTTGGTGAAATGCATCATCTGTGAACATCTCCCACTAGCAGTATGCTGCACAGCCTGTGAGTATAGGTGTACTAGTATACACTGTCATCCTTCTGCCTCTCTCATAACTTGTGTATATGTACATTTTTAATGTGTGCATTGCAATTCCTGCAATTCATGTACTGCAACATTCTCATAGTATTCATTAAATGTGGGCATATGTTGCAGTTTATCATATAAGAGCAAAAAATGTGGACAAACTCAGCAAATCAGGCAACATCTGTGGAAAGAAACAGAGTTGACATTTCAGATAAATGACCTTACGTCTGAATTGACGAACAGTAG